AACCGAATTGGTCACCCCGAACCATATGGAGTCATGATAGTCACTGACTATAAGCTAACCTAATAACCGAAATAGTTTTGTTGCTCAAATAAATAACTTTAGTTTTATCTAACCATATGCAGTCATTCATAGTATTGTATATGAATCGGAATATTAAATGCACTAAATAATATGATACGTGAATTCTAAAAATAGTTAAGATAAAGTTAGTTGGTGTTCGGTGCATTGCCTCGCATGTGGTTACATGAGTCCAATGGCGTTAAGATTCGGATGAAAATATTATATACACGATATATCCAAAAAAAATTCGAAAGCAAATACATAACGTTACATTTATATGTGGCTTTTAAGTTCAATGGTTGTTCAAAGATTTATTAATACTTTTAGGCTAGAAAATATAGAGTTCAAAGTCTTAAGAAATAGTAGTATAAATTAATGGAAGCAAAGTTAACAAAAAAATAGTGTGATTCAAAGAGAATTGTGTGTCATGGTTCTGCATTTCAAAGTTAAATTTGTTTATGAAATTGTTCTCACAAATCAGAACAAAAACATTATATTTATCTTTGCCATGATTAGAATTTGGTATTCGAAAATCATACAAAGCTAATACCAATAGCATCCGAGTGTACAAAATGTCAAAACGATTCATTTCAAATTCGGAACTGACCACAACGCAGAAGTTGTCTTAGAAATAAACCTCTAAAAGCTTTAGATTTCTTCTTACATCAAACTAGTAAAAAGTCAATAAAACTTGTAATTTTAGTATTGAAACTTGGAAAACTTAAATAAATAACCCAAAGAATCTTTAAAACATCCTAACATATGAAATGATGGAATACTTGTTCAAATCGATCAAACTATAGATTTCAATATTCCGGACGGTAACTTGCGGATTACGGTATTTTCTAATATATATAATCCGTTATCAGAAGAAAGATAGTTTTTAACTTGTCATCTTCTGCAATATATATAATACTATTTAATTTTCTAATACATATAATCCGTTATCGGAAAAAATTATAGTTTCTTATTAGAAAAAAACAATCAAATATGACTAAAACATGAGTAATTATAATTCAATTAGAAATATATATAAGAATCCATTCATAAGGATTTCCTTTAAATAAATAAATATACGAATAGTTACACAATTAAAAAAACTTAACTCATACAGAAATAGGAAAATTAGCTATTGAAAAATATGAAGATTAAAAAGAAGTATTTCAAAACAAAAATATATGTTAATTTTTAGCTGGAAATCAAATAATACAAGAAAAACAGGAAAATCAAAATAAATAAATAATTGTTAGATTTCTTTATCATTGGTTTCACAAATACATCACTAATCTTATTTTCTTTACTTTTACAAATGATCCGGGTTTTTTTTTTTTATGTTTGATTCTTTTTCACGGGTTATCAACATATGTTTTGAACTTATGCAGTTGACATTTGAATATATCCTTAAACATTAATGTCAAAGAGTTATTTTTATAGTAAGAATTTTTATTATCCGCGCGGCAACGCGCGGGTTTGTTTCCTAGTCTCTATTAATACCGAGACTTTTTTTTGTATACCAACGTGTAAACATTGTTTTGTACTGTTAGTCGAAATAAGATGGCTTTTAAAACCGAAACTAGAAGATATGTAGTTAACATGAACGATTGGTGAAGCAACTCCAAGTTCCATTTAATAGGCTAGTACAGTTCTGGTCTAGGCCACAACCGAAACTAGATCAGTTTGCAATGATGTTGGAAGTTTTGTAGTTAACATGAACTGAATTGATCAAGTGTGAGACTTTTAGATTGAACGCTTCTAAGCACCTAATTAGATAGGATGTTTTGTAGCTAACAGGAACTGAATTACTAACATGGATCAAGTGTGAGACTTTTACATTGAGCACTTTCTAAGCACCTAATTAAACAGTAGAAAATTGTCACATATGTAATTTATATGTTTCTTCATCTTCTTACATTTGTTTGTAGGTAAATCTAGACCTTGAAAATGGTGGATTACCTTATGGTGTTTCCAATTCTAGAGCTATATCAAACACGAGGAAATTTCTCTTTCAAAAAAGAAATTACCTTGTGAGCTCTTGGGACATTTACGCGTGTGAAGGCTCTGGTGGTTTTACTACGCAAAAGTTAGACAGCGTACAGGAATTGAACAACGAGGTTGACATCGAGATCAATGTCATTAGAGTTCCATACAATCCAGGTAAGAAACTCCTAACTCACTGATTTATTTTAATCAATCTTCTGTTAGAACCAAATTCACTTCCTTTTATTATTTTAAATTTTTAATCAATCTTCAGTTTGAAAGAAACTCACTGACTTTTATTATTTTAAATTTTTAATCAATCTTCTGTTGGAAAGAAACCTACCGACTTTTATTATTTTAATCAATATTCTGTTAGAAAGAAACTTACTGATTTATTTAATCAATATTCTGTTAGAAAGAAACTCACCTATTTATTTTAATCAATCTTCTGTTAGAAAGATTTGGGGAGGTTTTACTCAGTGAGAATAACTTGATTGTATATACTAGGCTATATAAAGCCAATACAATTACAAAGATTTGAAGAGATTTTACAAAGATACTCGGGAAAATAACTCAACTATTAACAAGAGAATATCCTATATTCTATCACTGTCATCTAATTTGAATATGTGTGTTTTTTTCGCAGTCGAGAAACGTGACTATGGAGACTTGGCGTTGAAGTCTACCATGTTAATTTGAATAGAGTGTGCCATTGTAGCTCAAGGGTTTGGTGGGACAGATTCGGTCCAAATTGTGGCAAAGTCAAGAACACTCACCAATGAAATGATACATGACATGGAGGCAAACGGCTTTATTGTTTCAATTGTGAGATCTCCTAAACCAACTAAGAATAAGAACGTAATTTTCTTTTTTTTTCCTTTGTGTGATTACTGAATTTTGTAGCCTTATAAATTTTTTTCTAAATTTCAGATAAAAAAACCCCTGATCAAGACTACACACACGGACATGAAAATTTTGCAACTCATGTCGAAATGGTGCAGGGCGCAAGAATATCTAGTCCCGATTGTTATGATCTCAAACGACACGAAACTTACTCCGGCAGTGGAAGGCGTGGTCAACCTTGGGTATCAAATCTCTCTTGTTCACGCAGCTCATGCTTCGGATGAACTCGTGACTGCCGCGACAAAGACATTTGGTTATGAGGCTTTAGTTCAACTTTAGTATTTCTGGCAT